TAAAGCAGCCTTGCACCCACAGCACTGGTGGAGAATGAGACATGGCATTTGTAGACCTACGATTGTTTGAACCCCATGTATATCACATATCCAAGAGTAGCAATCGTGGAAACTCGTGAGAACGCATTTCAACAGGGTGAAATCCAAAAAAGAGATGCAGAAACATGTTTTGAAGGGTTCCCCAGTTGGGTTTCTCGATCGGGTTCTCCAAGTGGAATGCCCCAAGCACTTGTTTTGATCACCCTTTCAGCTGCAGCTGGGGCATTGCGAGTTACAAGGGCGCCAAATACCACAAAGATTGAAAAGCTGGTTTGTGAGACGGCCGAAGATCTCTACTCTGTTTGACGCAGGTTTTGCTCCTGGTCATCTCATGTCACGGGAGGCCATGAGACGGGATGTGGTGGGTGTACTGCAATTAGTGGCAAAAGAGGAACGAGACAAAGTATTTTCCGTGGTTGTGCTTGAATTAGTGATTTGCTTTGTCTCATGGACACCATATTTTTTGTACTCGCAAGCTTCGGGCACACAAGGGTTAACAGAGCGTTGGGCTGACGGTCGTGGATGCTGCTGCAACTTTTCCCGAGCCAACAAAAGCAGTAGACTCAGTAGCACTTCGTAAGGTCGATGCTGCAATGCCCCAAAACAGTTTTTAGCACTACCCTCCAGATGCATTTGGGGCATTGTGTTTTTGTCCTGGTCGGCAGGAATTGATGCACCGTGGACCTTGGAGATCTCTTCGGGAGGAGCTTAAATTTTGCGTTGGCCGGCTTTTACTGTGATGTTGGTAGCTGTCACAAGACAGACAGATATCCTGTCCGATGCACAATCATTGGTGCGAAGTGTTGTTAAGATGCTTTTTGGTTGCTAATTGCGCAAACATTTGTGGTTGTCGAGACACTTCTTGTGCAGGACGCGCCCGTTACCTGAATAGCAAGCTTGAACCACAGGCGCGTGAACATCATAAAGCTTGGGCGCCAGCTTTTGGGATTGTCTGTGCTATGTACAGAACATTGCACTTGCGAACGGGTCCCACACCATACCTTAGAGGAGTCTTAGGGGTTCGCAGAGCATGAGTATGAGTGCTAGCTTTGTATCCAGGCCCCGCCACTCGCGATTTGTTGGCCAATTTGTTCAAAGATGACGACAGCCTTGTGGATTCTCCCAGTTGGGCGAGCAACCCCGGCTCCTGTTTCAGAACGCAGCATTTGACATGTGCGACGATTGCGGATGCCACGTTGATTAGTGCGTGCTACAAAAATTATGCCCACGCTTTCTGCATGTCAGAACTCAAGAATTTCTTTCGTTTTGCGAAGAGTCCCAGTTTTTATCCTAGTGAAGCATTCCCACAAACTTATTGTGGAGGTATGATGTATGTTCTTCCGTCGGTGCACATTGTCCACTGAGCCTTCACGAATGCCATGGCTGCGCGCGCATGGGGGATGATGACTCAAGTTCGGGTTTCCTAAGCCCAGCTGAAAGTGCAAAATCACTTGCGCTTGCAAGCAGTTCTGAGAGTTCTGGTCCTGATGAGCAGTTTCTGCAATCTGATTTCATAGCAGAGGAAGATGGAGACAGAGATGGTTTTCTTTCTATTGAGGACTTCACGTTAGGTTGTTTTAGTGTGTCCAGTTTTTGAACTTAGGGACCCTTGGGTTACAGGCCCGAAAGAATCGAAGCCCGCTGAAAGTATATGTTTACGACCTGAGTGAAGACACTGCCCCTCCCATGTCGATTACATCGCCCCTCCCCTCTAGGAAGCGCAAGGCAATTTGCCTGCGTGCATTGACCCATCAGATGTCTTTTTGCACGCAGATGATGATATCCAAGGCGAGGTTGAGGACAGGTGTGTGCCAGGGCAATGGCTTCCAGGCAGCAACGTTGGTTCTTGGATTAGTCCCTTTGCTCCCATCAGTCAACAAGCTTTGGTCCTGATCGGAAATGCATGGACCAACGTTTTTCGGGTACCCAAAAGAATTCTCAAAGCCTGTCAAAGCTATTTGCCGAATATCAAGGGCATGAACAGGTGCTCTTTGCAAGTGGCCTTTGTCAGCCAGCTGCTGGCAGTGTCGCCGCACAGTGTCCGAGCTTGGATCGAGGGCTTGAAGCAAAACGAATGGGTTCCAGTACAAAAGCAATCTCTATCAGATTGGTGGCAGCGAAAAAACAAGACTTCCTTGCATGACGGTGACGCCCCTGCATCGAAGCCCCAGAGTGAAGTGGATTCAGAATCAGTGCTGTTAGAGCGAGTTGTGCAACGCGCCTTGTATTGCTGTTTTGAGAACCGTACTGGCTTGGAATATGAAAGAGATATGGCCAGTTTGGCAGATCTTTGTCCTGGGATGTTCGGGACCACTTGTCGTGGCCGGGAGTTTTACACAAATGTCATCCACTTGGCCGCTACATCGATGCGCCACCTGGACGGACTAGACCTATCTCTAGCACTTCCAGGGCTCGGTATTTGTTCGGACGTGAGCCTCATGCTTGACCCTGTTTCATTAGGCACTGGAACTTTCGCGAGACATGGAACGACCTTGGTGCTCTGCGTGGCCAGCATCAGTGCACACACGCACCGAATACAGAGCATATTTCTAGATGCCCCAACCATGTCCATGCAAGGGCATACGGGTGACAGCGTCAGGGACTTGGCCCTGGAAACCATGAAAAATCACCCAGCTTCCTTGAGCATGGCAGCTTTGAAAGGTAGATTGTGTTGCGTGACTGGCGATGGTGCTTTATGTCAAGGCGGTCGTCTCGCACAACATTCTTCGAGCGGAGCCTGTGAGAAAATTTGGGCTGAAATTCATCCAGGTGAAGTGTCTCATTGCACTACGTGGGACAGAACCTTGGCAATGAGTAGACAATAGTATTTGACATTTTTTTGCAAAGACAAATGAGGTGTCGCACTGATTGCTTTCACAATTTGGAGCCTGATAGGATTCCACCAAGTCGACCGTGCAGTCTGGAAGTCCATATTAAAGTGCAGCGCGGCAGAAGAAATTTTTGACATTGCTGCAGCTCTTGACTCATTGTTTGGCATTGGAGAAGGCAAGCTCTTGTTAAGAGCCGTAGGCGAATTGCTTCCTGTTGATCAGGACAAACCGCAAAGCACCATGCGTGCAGGCGGCGCGCGCAAAGTGGGGCACTTAAGCAAGGTACCAGGCAACATTGTGCGAAATCTGCCAGCTTACATCCTCGGCCTCCATGGCCGCATAGCGTGGAAAAGGTCAGGGCATGGAAAGCAGACCCTGGCAACTTTGCTGTCAGTTGGACGTCGAATTTGTTCCTTGTCTTTTGCAACTAAGCTGCAAGCAAGATTTTGTTGCGCGACATTGTGCGTAACGAGTAAATTTTGCTTTTCAAAGCAGCATGTATGAACATGAACTGAATATGGTTGTAGAGTATCGTTTCGGAGAAGCAACTGGACCATCTGTGTAAAACGCTGATCATGGATTGCACGAGGTGGCTTTTCTTCTGGTTTTCCAGTCGGCCTTCGAGAGCTGTGTGCGACCATATGTTTTGGCCTCCCAGAAAGCGGTCGAGCCGTGGGTCCTTCGCAAAGCCGAAATGCGCATGTTGCAAAATATTGATCGTATGGTGGCCAGTATCCAAGAGGCTAGCAAATTCCTTGCAATCCTTGCGCTGCTTCGCCCGCATTTGTCAAGAGCAGAGGTTGCTCGATTCATCGTGGCGCGGTCTAGCCAATCGTCTGCTCGACTGATTTTTGATTTTTGGTTGCGCCTGCCTGGATTGGTCACCAAAAGCCCGCCCATGCTGGGCAAGTGCGCCTTGCAACAGCAAGATTTGCCATTGGAACAGGGCTCCATTTGTCTTAGCCCGCATTGCCAGTGCGCGAGCAAATTAGCTCATTTGAACAACGCTGCCAAGCCAGAAGAATTGCCTTTGATTTCGGTAGTGAGAGCTTCCCGGAAGAGGAAAAGACATCGCGAAATTCCTGTTCCAGTGTGGGTGGCTTATGGGGCTGCAATCGCAAGCACCAGCCAAGATACAGCTACAGAGGCCCAAACTCCAAGATTTCAGGTGTGTCCTACTCCAAAGCCAACAGGCATACCAGACATGTTTCGCAGAAAGGGGTGCCAGGTGCCTATCACAGTGTACCAGCAGCATGCAGACATACAAGCTTCTTTAACGTCATCTTTGGGCTTTCTGAAGAATTTGCAAGAAAACATCAAAGCCGCTCTTGGCGATGCTGGCGTGAACGAGCACATGCAGCGTCTCCTCTCTGACGCACGTGAAGCTTGGGATTGGGACTTCCTGTTGCACAATAAACCTTTAAACCGACATGTGGATGCTTTCATGAGACTGGTGGACTCTCTCAAGCGCACTTTAGATCACAGTGCGTGGCCAGATGAGAAGCTAAGCGCAAACCAGTTTAAAGCCTTGTTTGTTTGTTTGTTTGTTGTTTGCTTGTTTGTTTCCAAACACATAACCATTGTAAAGCCTTGTTTTTTTGTTTTTTGTTCGTTTGCTTATTGATTTTTGTTTTCTACACCTATCATTTCTGTCACTTGTCAGGAACTTGTGGCCTGGCATTCGCAGATCCTGGAGCAAAAGGGGTGAACTTATTTTGTCGTATGGCATGCTTTTGAAGCGGGTGCGGATGGTTGCCCAAACGCAGTATGCAACATCGAATGCTTCGGGTATCCCTGCAGATGTCTTGTTGTCCGCTGCTGCCTGGAGCACGCCCTCCATGTGCTTGGTGTCTCCATGCTGGGTCTTTAGCCCTTTGTTGCAGTGCTTCCAGGCTGTTTTCAAATCCAGTCTGTATGCGACCCGAACTGCTACGCTGGTGTCCGCTTTCCTGGGCAAATTCGGCAGCCTTGATTTTCCCAGTCAACCTGAGCTAAGTGTGAGTGCCACTTCTTTGTTCCCTGTGTCTTGCCGGATCCAATGTAGTTTTGTCTATTTTGCAATAATTTATATAAAGAACATAAAGAGAACGGTGTCCTTCCAACATTTTTGTGTGGAGGCAACCTGTCGCACCAATCTCCGCCGAAGAAAGCGTGTGCTGCACGACCCTCGAGCAATCTCTGTGGGAAGTATTCTTTCGCTGGCAAACAATGCTGGTCGACCTCGCAAGCTCGTTCTTGTCGTTGAAGTACAGTTTGCAATCAACCATCAGGCCGTGTCGCTCGCGCTGGATAAACACCGTTTTTTTGCCATGGGGCACAACACTGTGGGGAAGTATCGCAGTAAAGAAATTGGGTGGCATGCTGCTCGAATTCATCATCATTGCCGCTTGCTCGATCCTCCCGAACAACCATGCGAGCATGTTGGAAGCTTGTTGCACGGAGCATGGAACCCATCTCAAAATTATGCACCTCAACCTTTGATCGACCAAGCCCTTCTGAAGCATCTGAGAAGGTTTAAGTACTTTTCCATTAACGTGGTTTTCCTTTTTGTAGGGAACATACTCCTCCACGCACACTCGGCCCGCAGACACACAAACAGAGAGAGAGAGAGAGAGGCGCCCACATATCGCAGTCTGTTCTGCCTACCAGGCAAGCTCGCGTATCTTGCATCTTTGGATCTCCTCGAGACCGCTTGCTCGTCAAAATTGTGTGCCAGATTCTTGAGAAAGCTAAAATTCGGGTGTCTAGCAACCAGAGAGCTCTGCCAGTACAACAAATCCAGGCCATGCGTGTGGCTGCCCAAGAAGCGGGGCGGTGCTATGATGGATTGTTTGGCCACGCCTCGATGGAGGATATTCTGGAAGTTGCTATTCCAGACGAGTGGGTTGGCTCTTCCTGTTTGAAGACCCGGGACATCCGCGAATCTCGGAGACGGAGCCTGCATGATTCTCTCCCTGTGGATTTGCCAAGCACCATTTCTGAAGCATTGAAGCCATATGTCGGTAAAGAAATTCTTGAGCCACCACCAATGACTGTACGATTGTCAAAACAAAAAATGCGCAATTCGGCGCCTTCTTCCAAGAAGGCTGCTTTGGCAGAATGGCTGGAAAGCTCAGAAGGGCAGCTTTGGAGAAAGGAAAGAGACACGATCTTTGCTGGCTGATGTCCGAAAAATGGTGTTTGCTTTCAGCGCAGAGTAGGTTGTCAAAAAAGAGGTTTGTAATACGATTTTTCTGATGGAGGAAGCTTTTGTTCGGCGAAGACTTCATACCAAAGATGTGCTTTCTTATTCTTCATTTTAGTGTAAGCATGGATCATTACAAATCACGAAAGGTAGCTTGAGCTACTTGAGTTCTCCTTGCTTTAGCAAGATGTATTACAATCAGGAGTTTGGATTGTGCATTGAATTTGGTCCTGTAAGAGTTGATTCTGTTCACCGGGGGGGAGGGGGCCCCCACCCTGGATCAAATCCCCCCTGCGCCAGTTCACGCCGTCGTGGACTTTTACCAGGGTTGCTTGTGATTGCCTGCTACCTTTCGTTCACCCCCTCCTTTCTCAAGTTCATTTCACTTGGATCACAAACCTTGCGCCAGGCCAAGCCACGACCGACATTCAACGCAAACAGTGTGAAAAAGAGTGGTGGTGCGCGGATATTAGGGCAAAGCAACCGAGTTGTTCCCGCATGCTTTTAGCTAATCTTTGCTACTGACCTCAACCCTGACCATATCGTTAAACATCAAAGTTGTGTTATTCTCCGTTTTTGTAGGTGGACTTGTCCTTTTCTTTTCTACCATCTCCGTGGCAAAAACGGTAAAAATCTTTGTTTTTGGTCTTTTTTACTGGGGGGCGCTCCATGTTTAAATTTCATATCCGCGGTAAAAACAGTAATTATTTTTTCTCCGTTTTTACCGGGGGGCGCCCCTTTTTCTCTACCATATCTGCGGTAAAAACGGTAAACATCGAAAAATTTTCTTTTTGTACCGTTTTTACCGGGGGGGCGCTCCTTTTTCTTCTACCATATCCGCGGTAAAAACTCAAAAGTCAAAAAACTATTTTTTTACCGTTTTTACCGGGGGGGCGCTCCTTTTTCTTCTACCATATCGGCGGTAAAAACGGTAAAAAATCATTTTTTTTAAAAGATCTTTTTACCTTTTTTCCTGCGGGGTCGCGAAAGGATACCCCTTAGCAAAACAACGCTCGCGAACCAGCTTAGAAGGATACACTCCCACAGTTCGGCATGTCATTCCTTGATTTGTTGGTTCATGGCCGAGAGAGAGGCAGAGGTTTGCCTGATCAGGCTCGACGAGGGCAATCGGCCACAGCCAAAGACCAAGAGCTGAAGGCACCTCGCAGCGAAGTGAAAGTGGCTGTGGGTCCAAATGTGGGGACCCTGATTTACATGAGTTGGACCACCTGGAGCCCCGGGTCCACCATGTAGCGAACGACCGTGACGTCGGTAGGTCAACCAAAGTATATGATCCACACCCATTTGCCCTCTCCAAAAATAGCGAAGAGTCTACCAGACAAAAAAAGCAGCGGTTCCGAGTTTGGAGCCTGCAATGATTTCAACAACCCAATGTCCAACACAGGTTGAAGAGCAGGTGAGCGAACTGCGTGTGCATCGAGCAGAGATGGCCATCAAGCAGGAGGTCCGCTTTTCAACTTTTTGAAAACAAATGATCTTCTGCGGACTTTCTCACCAGGCAGTGGCTGCTGCATGTATGGTCGAGAAGGCGGCCTGCTTTGGGTCAAGCATTGTCAGTGAGACTTTTGCTGACATTATATTTGTTCTCAATAATATGTTTACAGGAGCGACTAGCAGAGCTGCGAGCGGAGTTTGAAGATGCAAGATTTTTGAGACTGTGCTTTTGTACTTTTTTGGCACTTTACAGTTCCGTACGAGTTCCAGTGGAAAATCACGTCCCGGACATGTGAGAAATGGGTGTGGGACAACACCTCACAATAACGATACAAGGTTGCATGGGTTCGGTAAAACCTGGAGCCCTAACATAATGTCAACCTGGCTTTGCTCCAGAGCCATTCGGACTTCTCCCAGAGTCCACCTGACCGTGTAGGGCTGACCCACACCCAGCCCTGGCCGGTTTCCGTGGCGCCACGGGTGCTGTCCAGGTGCAGGCAGCCACGGTAAAGAAGATCGATGATGCCACCAAAGATCTGGCAGTTCAGGACGGATGTTCTTTCCGACGCGTCCGGTCCGACGTCCGGACGGACGACTGGGACCTGGGCGACGGCGCCCGGACGACGGGCCCCGGGGTTTGCAGGAATGCGCCACATCTCTGGAAGCAAGGTTGTCACAGATTGACAAAGAGCTGAGCCACAAGAAGGACACCGATCGTGATGAAGAGAAGAATGCAAAAAGAGATGAAAGAAGGTAGAGAAGGAAGGTAAGACCCGTTAAGACCCCTTTAAAGGAAAAAACGCGCCTTGTTTTTATCTTGTTTGCTTGTATTCATCAAATGCTTTGCATCAGCTTCTCAGCCTATCCAGAGGTCGACTCCTCACCATCTTTGCTGCAGGAGAGATTCTCTGCAGACCTCAAGGCAAGAGCTGGGCGATCTGGCGACCTGGGTCAAAACCACCGCCGGGTCAAGTAGACCTACCGTAGGGCCGTAGGGAAGTCAAGCTACATGATGTTGGCCCAGGTTGTGACCCATCCCATCTGACTCTCGACATCTTTCAAACGCATGGCACCTCAAGGAGTCATCGAAAAGAAGATTCGCCCGCATCCCTCGACAAATGCTGCCGATGTTCGTCGCGCATTGTATGAATCCCTTCCAAGCCCCCATTTTTTATTTTGGACGAAGCATTGACGAAGCTAGATTTGGGTTGTGCAACGAAGGTCTGGAGTAATGCTCTGGGGATAGGTCGTTCAACCGGTCTAATCCACCATTGCCCGGGCTCACGACCTAAAGCCGGTCCGTTGGCAAACAGCGGTGAACCCCACAGCCCTGGCGGACGCGAGAGAGCCAAGCGATTGGACCGTCTGCTTTCTCCACGCGCGCTCCGCGCAGTGCGTGGCGCGGTGCGGAGGTCCTGGAATCGCACCGAGCCGAAGCCGGCCGGTTGCGCCAGCGCCTCGAAGATCATGCTCAGGCCAGCGAGCGCCTCTTGGGCTCCTTCCGAAAAAACGGCGGCATCACCCAAAAAGGACTCTGGACTTGAGACAAGAGTTCTGAGGGGGTATACGGATGTATACGGTATATTAGCAAGTTGATGATCCGAAAAGACCTGAAATAGGCGCAGCTGGCGAGAGCAGACAATGGCAGCATTCTTGGACGGCCAAAAGCAGGTTGTCAAATGTTGTCAATTTCAGAAGCTCACGTTTTGCTTGGCCCCTTGGAATACTTTTGAGCCCAAGTCAGGTCCAGCGGTGATGGAAGATGGGAAGGACCTAACCAACATTTGTCAGATGTCACAGAAAAGCGAGTGAGATATTTCAGACCGGCCGCGTGCTCCTTCAGAAGGCACTTGACACTTCAGATACTTTGCTGGTCAGACTCAGTATCACGCGTCAGCCATGCCATGCGCTGGCTGTAGGACTCAGAGAAAAAGACCAAATTGCTCAAGGCCTTTGTTGTCACAATCAAGTGACAAGTGCTTCACATGAATCAGTTGAACAGGTCAACACATATCAGGCTGTATCGTAGCAGTGATAATGATGATGGATGATAACGACTCCGCTTCTCTCAGTGCGTCAACAGTGCCACATGGCACATGATTCTGAGGAGCTGCTGACGCATCGGGCGGCATCCCTTCAGGAGGATCGGTAGAAAAGCAGAGAATCACCTATTGAATCCGGACATGTTCGGCCGACTGTGACGAACTGGCCTTCAGTCGATGGAATGACAGCTGTAGGTTGTAGCTCCGCTGTAGCTCCGCTGCTCACGCATGTCGGAGGCAACGGAAGAAAGCAATGAAGCGGAGAAGAATGTGCAGGCCAGAGCTTTTCAGTGGCATGTCTGGCATCAAATGGCATCTTGAGACGTATAGCAAGTGCATTTTTGGGATGAAAAGAATGCTCGAACACTTCTCAACTCGATGTGCTGGCCATGTTCGCATTCCTTCGTCCTCCCCGAGGCTTTGGAGCAGCAGCAAAGAAGCCTTCAGGCGAGTCATCGGCTCAAGACGGAACCGGAACTCCAGACTCCGGTTCCGTTTGTTTCGCAAAAAACGAATTCGCAGGAAGAATACCGGATAGCGATGCAAGACATGAAGAGTCAGGCCGCCCGAGAGGTGCTGATTCTGGGAGGGCGCTTTTAGCAGAGGCTAGTTGAAGAATGCCTTACAGGTGAGCAAGGGCAACGAGCACTATTCCAAGTTGCAGGAACTGGAAGAGGAGATCCTGACTTGCAAACCATGTTGATTTGGGTGCGTGGAAGTCAGGAGACCAACGCTTCTGGGTTTTCACTCACTTTTCCATGACTCGTACTATTTGGTCTTTGGGCCCTGGGACCCGGTTACACTGCAAGGTGTTGCCGACGTCTGCATGGTAAATCACTTGTTGTCCAACAGGACATCCGAACCTTTGATGATGAGTCTGAACTCCTGACCCTTGGCCTTCATGAGGCAGGGCCACAGTGCAGGGCCACAGTGGGCCGCAGGGCACAGATTTCTCTCCCTCAAAACGTGCACGAAAACACTTGATTTGTGTGGGTGGAGCCCACATGAGTCCACTGAGAAATGGATCCCAACATGTTCTTTCTTTGCTATGCAGATGGGAAGGCACCGGGCGAAAAGATGAACCGCGTACCCTTCAGGTGATGTGTCTAGCAGTTTGGCACCTATGGCCAACTCTTTGAGGGACCCGAACGAAGATCGAACGACATAACACGAAAACGGCGAAATGGGCGGATGACTTCAGCCCTTGGGCACCAGCACTCTGCCGGACGAGTCGCGGGCGAACGATCGGCCCAAAGAGGCTGAGAACCGAAAGGAGTACTTGCTCAAGGAGCTTTGAACACACCGCGTTTTCCTTTGCCTGTGTTAAACGAATGGGCATGGCCGAACGAACATGTGTTCACTGGAATGGCCTTGAAAGACACCTCAAACACACATTGCGCTTTCGCCACTTTGCCAGCGGCGCCGCTAGGAGTACGGGCTTTTGCAGCAGGCCTCCAGCAATTTCGACCGACACCTTCTCCAGCAGT